TGGGGGAGTCGTTTAGAACAGAAGAAAGTTCTCTCACGCCTCACCACCCCCCAAGCTCTCAAACTTCCCTTTTGTACCCTCCTGGCTCCTGTCTTCAGGTTTTTAGACATACTCAGTGCTTAGGTTCTTATTCATACATAGTCCGGGGCTTGTGTTTTCTGCACATGCTCCGTTCCGAGGTTTTTCCCCATACATGTTCCCAGGCTGTGTTCTCGGCATATGTGGGTCGGGGTCTTGTTTGTGGGTTGGGGTCTCCGTGATGAAGGCTTTTAGTCTTCCTCTGTGTCCGCAAAATGACCTCGTGCTTGGAACATGCGTATTTAGTAGGTATTTTCCTCCCTTACCAGGTTTATCAGTGCTCATTTATCACTTTGACTCCTTGTTAGAGAGTACATCCATGCCTTGGGCTTGTCGGCTGAGTTTTGCTAGTTGTGTTAACAGAGTGTAGTTAATTTATTACAGTGCCAGGCTGCCTCCCTTTATTATCAGACTTGGAAACAAACGGCAGCTTGTTAGAGGCATCTAACAGCTATGTGGGAATACACCCGGAAGTCACACATCAATGCCCTGAAGTTTCACTAAACCTAACCAAAATCTCTTCAAAGTATATGCAGTTTATTACAATCCCTCTTTTTTCTTTTTTTTTTTTTTTTAATTGACTCTGTCCGTGAAATCTCTCTAACACATCTTTTGCCCTTTGGAGAGTCAGAGTGTTTTCTCCGTCCCCAACCTGTTCGTATTGTGTTTGAAATACCAGCAGATGTGCTACCTCTAATCGTCCTTTTATAACAGCGATTAATCGATTAAAAATACATAGACCAAACGTCAAACCTATGATCAAGAGGATCAGGGGTCCCGCAATTGTGGATAACAAGGTAGATATCCAGGGGGAATAATTAAACATGGATTCATACCAACTTCGTTGCATCCCACGTTCCTTTTGTCATTTTTCTAGTCCTTCTCTCAGCTTAGACATCGTATCCCTAACCACGCCTGTATGATCTGCAAAAACACAGCATTCCTCCCGTGAAGCAGCACATAACCCTCCCTGTTGTAAGAACATTAAGTCTAGTCCCCGTCTATTTTGTAGTACAACTTCTGATAGGGATCTTACAGATTGTTCTAGGGCTGTCATCGTTTTTTCTATCCTAGCCAAATCTTCATCCACAACCTCTCTCAGGGATTGAAACTTGTGGTTTTGCTGTATGAGAGAGGATATTCCAGTTCCTGCCCCAACTGCTCCAATGGCCATAAAGGCTGCTACGGTGAATGTCGTGAAGGGTTCACGCTTTTGTAAATGATGAGACTGAGTGGATTGATAGTCATATACATAATTTTCAGGATGATAGATAAGTCTTGGCACAATAATCACCTGTATACAATACTCAGTATTCCCATCAAAGATTTTTAGGGACACACAAGGAGTAATGCCTGGTCGAGAACAAAGCCATTTGGCATTCTTATTAGGCAACAACCAATCTGCTGCTGTACCTTGTCCTTTTGGGTCTTTTTCAATAATTTTACACAGGTGTCATTTGTTGGTGGGGATATTACCTATACACCTTCCCACCCCTGATATTTGCAACATGGTCAAACCTTCACTCCATAAACATGTGGCTGGATTGGCACCATTAACTTTTGTAGCCTCAGTTGCAATCCCAATTGCTTCATAAAAAGGTGGTCTGATGTCATAACATAACCAACAGTGCTCGGTTATATTGGGGTTGGTAAAATTCAACACATGATAGCTAGTTTGTAATATGTTCCACAAGGGATTGACTTGTGGAGCAAGTGTTGAAACTTCCCCTTCTATTTGGGCATCCTGGTTAGAATTTGTGACCGAGATAACCCTAGGGGTAGAGGCAACTGGAGCCTTACCTTTTCTTATTTCTTTCACTATAGCTGGGTTCGGTCCAATGCCAGATGGTTCGTTACGTACTGGTTCCTTTTTTATTAAAATGCGTCCCCCCTTATCAGAGCAAGGACCTGGTTGCCAGTGTCTCACCCCCCACATTTTTCCAAGAATCCATCCTAAGTCTCCCGCATTTGTGATGTTTAAATACAAAAACTTACAATTTCCTCTATCTATTATCTCCCAGACCCTATCAATTTGAGGAGGTTGGCATCCAAAGGGTCCCCAAGTTACCGTTAAAAACTTGCCTTACCCCACGGTTGCTTTAACTATTGTAGGGGCAGATATCAGTAAAATTATCCAAATTTGGAGTGATGGTGGAACCCTCTGGGGAATACAAATCCGTACATGTGTCAATTCCCTTCTACACCCACTTGGAAGTGCATTCTGTCTCCCATTAGCACCTGCCAAGAGATCAGACGACTCACACTCCTGTTCTGACACGGTTCTGCTCCCACTGCCTACCCCGTTGCCTGAGGTAGCAGTGTTATTCATCTTCTGCGCAACAGTCGTGTTTCTCAGGGGCGAGTTCGCAGTCTGTTATGAGGCTTCTCAATCCTCAGCTTCCACAGAGGGGCTATACAGGCAGTTGTGCTACGTGAGAATATAAAACACTTGTAGGGTTAGATTCAAGAGGGGATATTTGGTGTAGTGTGGACTGCCCCTTCTAATATTCCCTCCACCCTTAGGGTTTATTTGTTTTTTGGTCCCTTCCCCTTCTGGGTTAAATCCACCAACACTCCTTACTTGGAAAATAATCTGTTTAGCTGATTCTCAAGCGAATCAAGGTTACAGGTGGGTTTCCTAGACACGCCACAAGTTAATCCTCTCCAAAGAATTGCTCCGAATTAGAAGACCTTGTTCCCTCATATATTCCCATTCATCTTCAAATATTTCCCAAGTTTGTGGAATCCCCAAATCCCTCCAGCAGTGGATTGTTGTCACATGCGAGACCCAGGGGAAACTTCACACACACCAATGATGTTCGGAAGCTCCATCCTTATTGGAAATTACACTTACTTTTATACAATTCAATAACTATCACATATTTGACTATTTAACCTATTATTGGTTACACACACAAAACACACACTGTTCACACGATTATTATTGGCTAGCTAACATATCTTATTTTCTAAATTCTTTTCCTTCTAAATCTAACTACAACGCTTCTATTCCCATGCCTCCTGGCAGGTTCAGCTTAAACTCCCTTCTGCAGGTGCTGTTTTTCTCATCCCTGTAGATGTCCAGTCTTTGTCATGTTCTGAAAACACTTAGTTCTTGAGACTCCTCAGATTCCCATCAGCTGGTTTACTCCTGCCTTAACCCAAAAGGTCTCTAATTCTCCTACATTTCCCCTTTTTTCTTTATTTATAACTTATATATTTTTTATTATTTTCGCAACTATTCCTTCTAAGCATTGCAGAATACATGGTACAAAAATTATAAAAAGTAGTATAACTATATCTATCATAACAGTCATTTTTACTAAATCATTAAGCAACACAAGTAACCTTGTTTTGACTATAGACAAAAGTCATTTTGATAGTTCTCATTTAACAGACTATTTAGTCAGTCTTGACCAGCATTAATTTGCAATTCTTTGATTCTTGTTTCTAATCTTCGAAGGTTAGTATGCATCAACTTACCATAATCAAATTTATATAATATATCCTCTTAAAATCTTGATACTTATAAAGTATTTTAAGTTTATATACATAGATATCTACACAGTTTTTTTCACTCATACAGGTTTTTTTTCAGTCATTCAAGAGGGTGGCCACCTCAATCACTCTTCACTTACACATAACTAGATTTTTTTTATATATATTTTTGCATTTTAACCACACATTTCAGATCCCAAGTATTACTGATTGTGTGCTTTTCAGTTTGTTATCTCTGGTAGTTATGTTTAGCAATAATTGCAGCCTGTCCTGAAGAGGAATCAATACAAAGAATATAAAGTTTAATCTAAATGAACAGTATTATCAGTCACAGACATGGAAATCCCTTTTTTTTTTTTTTTTTTTTTTTTTTTAGTTCAGTAGCTGCAGTTTCGGCAGCTTTGTCACACTGCTGAGAAAGTTGTGCTTGCAACACCATAATTTCTGAGCCTTGTAGTTCTGGGTTAACTCTAACTCTAGGACTCTTCACCGCAGGTGGCGGGGCCCGATTCTGTTAGGGAGTAGTGCGTCCCGCTTTGACCTGGAGCCCGCAGAGTCTCAGCTCTGCACTCGCCACGCGGTTGCAGTAACAGTGGCCCCACCTTTGCTCTGCTCACTTTGCGCTGGTCTCGCTTTGCTCTCAGCACGGTTTTGTATAGCTGTCTCGTTTTGTGCTGGTTCTTCCAGTTGTTTCCACTGTTAACAAAAAACTTATAAATCGTTCCTATTAATAGTTTAGTCAGTTTTAAGTGGTTATTGTAGCAGAAATAAATGAGAGAAGTTAAGTAATTTTGCAGAGGGTGTAAAAACAACAGACTCAGTCTGGGAACCCCATCTCGTCTGCCTGTTACTCTGGCAAGTCTAACGTGGGGTTCGAACCCACGACTTTAGCATTAAAAGTCTCTGAGCTAGTTGGGTTCCTGGTTCCGTCTGCTTAAGGCGACTGCAGCCGGCCTTGTTGTCCTCGGAAAGTAAACCTGGATAGGCACCGTGAACGAGATGTTGCTTTAACTTTCACAGTAGCAGCAAAAGTTTTAGGGAGCTCTTGCGTTTGAAAGGTTTCAGATACTACTCTCACACAAGTTTTTGTTTTTCAGTCTTAGAGTTAGTAATGTTTAATTCCGTGTTTTCTATTTGTGACTGTTGTGATGAAATTATAACTTGCAAAGCAAACATATTTTTGCCTCTTGTTTAATTTCATTAACATTGTTAAAAGTTCAAAGAATGTTGTTTATGGATTTTATGGACTTCTAGAGTGAATGGTCGTCATAGTGACTGATTGCCTCACTTCCCTGCTTCGGCTTGTCTTCAGCCTACTTTGCGTGGGGGGGGGAGGGAAGGTTTTCAATCATGATCTCAGCCGACCGATCTCAGCCGACCTCGGTCCTGGCCCTGGCCCGCAGAGCCGAGCCGTCCCGCCCCACCAGTGCTTGTCATGCAGCACTGATGCTTCGCTCTGCCGTTTCGCAGTGCCGCTTCGTTCTGCTCCTCTCTGTCCTTAGTGTTTTCCTCCCGCAGTGCCCGGGTGAGGGCCGAGTTATTAGCCCCCAGCTGCCGCCGCAGCTCCAGGCACTGCCGGGCCCTCAGCTCCGGCATCTCTGCCTTCGTTTTCACCTCAACTCCGATCTTTTTTGCTAAATATAGCATACATTTGAGCGTCGTTTGCTCAACTGTGGATACCGCATATCTCATGTTGTCTGCTGAATATTTGCAAGCTTGCACTCACCGCCTCTCTTTGGGCGCAGCCTCTCTCGGGTTCCTGACGCTGCGTTCCGCAGTTCGGCCAGCCAGCAGACACCTCGCCTTTTCGACACGGCAACAATCTTTCGGTACGAATATGTGCCGTCAATTCCCTGGCCTCCCGTATAGTCGAACTTTGTTCTTCTCACGAAATTCCTCACACGGGGAACCAGATGTTGTCACGTGCGAGACCCAGGGGAAACTTCACACACACCAATATGATGTTCATCCCTGTAGATGTCCAGTCTTTGTCATGTTCTCAAAACACTTAGTGCATGAGACTCCTCAGATTCCCATCAGCTGGTTTACTCCTGCCTTAACCCAAAAGGTCTCTAATTCTCCTACAGTGGATAGTAATTATTTCAACTTTCTCTAGTTCATATCCAGTCGGGAATCTACTTTCCCTACAAACCATGCAAAGTATATGACGAACTACAGAATAACAAAACCACTTTACCCCACATATTTGGCATTTACATTCCACCCAAGCATCATGTCTGTCGTGAGGATGACACAGACAAGGTATAATCCAAAAACTGTGATTTGGCACTGATATATCAGTTTCTACTTCACAGCAGAAAGGGAGGAATACAGGGTTACCCACTATACAATATATACCAGAGCCTCCTGTTTGATGTGGTATCCTTCCTGTAATCCACGGAGCCCAATCAGTATATATTAGAGTATTGTCAGACGATATTTGAAATCATTGATATAAATTACGCCTTACAGTTCTGTCAGTATTCATTCATTCCTTCTTTTTTTTAACACGAATTTTAGGCTTCCTGGAGTCCCTACCACTTCCCAGTTGTCTTCCCTTAGGGGTCCTTTGATCCGCAAGGCATGTGTCCACCCCTGTTCTGCAGTTCGGACAGCAGTTTCTGTAGTGATTAAAACAAGAAAAGGTCCTTCCCAATTGGGAGTGAGAGAGGCTTCTTTCCAAGTTTTTATTAACACCATATCCCCTGGTTTCACGGAATGCATAGATATATCTAATGGAGGTCTTTGTGTCACCATTCCTTTCACAGTTCTTCCCTTCTTTTCATTAATTGTATTATATATGGGTTGATGTTATTTTCATCTAGCATAGGGTGATTTGCCGGGCATTCCATGTCATATGGCATACTGTATAACATTTCAAATGGTGAGATCCCTGTGTCTGTTCAAGGTTGGGTTCTAATGTTTAGTAGGGTCATTGGCAAACATTTAACCCAAGACATTTTAGTTTCTGACATTAGTTTGGTCAATTGTTTCTTTATCTCCCCATTCATTCTTTCTACTCTGCCAGAACTTTGGGGGTGCCAGGGGATATGATACTCCCATTTAGTTCCAAAAGGGGCTAATGCTTCCTTCACTATTTTAGATATGAAGTGAGGGCCTCTGTCTGAGTCTATAGTTTCAATGTTTCCATATCGTGGCATAATATGTTCCAGGATCACTTTTACCACCGTATCAGCTGTTGCCCGGGTTCTAGGAAAGGTCTCTACATAATGAGTAAGATGATCTACTAATACTAATAAATGTTTATAACTGCCCACCTTAGGGAGATCGGTGAAATCTACTTGGATTTTTGCAAACGGTCTATGTACCAGGTCTCATCCCCCTGGGATGCGTCGCCTAAGATGCTACTTGTTAATTTTCTGACATGTCACACAACTCCTTACTACTCCCTTAGCTACATTATAGACTCCAATACACATATATTTAATTGCAAAGTGATCAACTAGTGCTTGAGTTCCCGTGTGTCTTACCATGCATGCTTTTCATTATTTTCCAGGTCAGTGCTTTAGGCAACACCTGTTGCCCATCAGGCAGTTCCCATCCCCCTGACTTCTCAATCACTCCCATTTCTTTGAGTTTCTCAGTTTCCTGTCTGGTAAACTGAGGTGTTAAATTTTTCTCTTGCCCTTTACTCTCCCTTAAATTGGTAGTAATGGTTAATAAGGCTGCAGCGTTAGCCTCTTGGTCAGCTAAGTTATTTCCCCGAATTTCAGGACTCATTCCTTTCTGGTGTCCCCTGACATGTACCACTGCTATTTGCTCAGGTCCTCTTATAGCTTGTAGAGTCCTTACAATAAGCTCTTCATGAATTAATCCCTTCCCCTGTGAGTTAATAAGTCCCCTTTCCTCCCAGATTTTTCCAAAAGTGTGTATAATTCCATATGCATACTTTGAATCCGTAAATATTGTGCCTTTTTTACCTCTCAGAATTTCTAATGTTCTTAGCACTGCATATAATTCACATGCCTGTGCTGACCAAGTAGGGCTAAGGGATCCAGATTCTTTTAATCTCAGCCTCTTATCATCAACTACAGTACATCCTGATCTCCTTTTCCCTTCTATTACTCGAGAAGATCCATCCACAAATAATTTCTCTCCCTCTTCTAACTCTGTTTCTTCCAGATCCGGTCTGATCTTAGTTTGTTCTTCGATTGCCTGGAGACAATCATGAGTTAAATCCTCTTCGGGACTCCCATATAAAAACTGTGCTGGATTCTGCAAGTTAGTTGTTCCGATTTCTAATTTGGGAGAATGTATTAATATTCCCTCATATTTTAGTAGTCTGGCATCAGTAATCCACTTTTCAGCCTTCTGCTGAAGCACTCCTCGAATGTTATGGGGGGAATAAACTTTTAATTCTCCCCCAAATGGTATTTTGTTTGCTTCTTCTATAATTAGAGTAACAGCTACCACTGCCTGCAAACAGGTAGGTCATCCCCTGCTAACCAGATCCAGTAATTTGGAAATATATCCCACCGGCTTTTTCTTTCCTGCCCATTCCTGAGTTAAAACTCCATATGCTGTCCCATCATCTGTGGCTACGAATAGATAAAAAGGTCTCTTCACATCAGGTAAACTTAAAACTGAAACATTCACCAAATCAGTTTTAAGGCACTCTAACTTTTCGTCATCTTCCTGAGGCCATTTTAATGATCCACCCGTAGTCAGTTTTTGGTATAAAAATCTCACCTTAGAACTATAATTTTCGATCCACTGTCTGCAGTATCCAAACAATCCCAACAGCTGCCTCACCTGTTGCTTACTGCTGGGAGCTTTCAGTGACAGAATTCCATTAACCCTCTCAGGATCCAGTTTCTTAGTACCCTTGTGGATCCAATGCCCCAAATATTTCACTTCCTGCTTCACAAACTGTAACTTAGATTTAGAAACCTTCAGACCCTGGAGGCTCAAAAAGTTCAGCATTCTAACAGTTTCTTTCCTCATCACATTTTGGCTTTTCCCTGCTATTAACAAATCATCTACATATTGGACCAATATTACCCCCTCTGGTAGTTGATATTCTCGAAGGATTCGCTCTAAAGCTTGTCCAAATAGGTTAGGCTACTCGGAGAATCCCTGGGGCAATATGCACCACCTAAGTTGCTGCTTCCTGAACGTATTATGGTCTTCCCACTCGAAGGTAAAATAATCTCTGCAATCCTTCTTGAGGGGACCGGTCCAAAATGCATCTTTAAAATCTATTACACTGTATTATTGATACTCAGGGCTTAACTGACTTAGTAAAGTATGGGGATTCGTAACTACTGGAAATCTACTTACAGTCCTTTTATTAATTTCTCTTAGGTCATGTACTAACAGATAACTTCCATCCGCCTTCTTAACTGGCAAGATGGGAGTATTAAAAGGGGACATACAGGGTTCAAGCAACCCCTGTTTTAATAGTCGTTCGATCTCAGGTTTCAGCCCTTTTCTGCTTTCACTAGGTAAGGGATACTGCTTAATCCTTACAGGAATCTCCGGGTTCTTAATAGTCACTTCAAATGGTTCAATATGTAATTTTCCCACAGTTTCTGGAGTGTACCAGACTTCAGGGTTAATCTGTTTCTCGTCCACCTCTGTAAGGTGACACAATTTAATTTTCAACTCTTTTTCTTCAACTTCTAATTTTATTCCCAACTCCACAATCAAATCTCTCCCTAACAGATTATATTCAGCCTCAGGCAACAGTAACAGTGTCCCAGTCCCATATTTACAATTTGACTCTACCAATACGCACTTTATAACGGGGACCTTGAAAGGTTCCCCTTTCACTCCAACCACGCTAACCTTTTCTCCTGATATTTCACATCCAGGTGGTAAAAACTGTATAGTCGACCTTTCCACTCCGGTATCCACCAGAAAGGTCATCTCCTGGTGCTGGGGACCCACTTTCAAAGTTATCAAGAGCTCTTTTTTACCTGGAGTTCCCAGCATGTAGAGCCCCTGACTCCCCTAGTCCTCCTTAAATTCCTTTTCATCTTTAATCCATTTCCTACATTCCCTCTTTATATGTCCTTTCTTTCCACAATAGTAACATTCCACTGTCTGCCTGTCCACCCGTTCTTTTCCTGGTTTCTCAGCCCTCCTCACTCCTTCTTTCTGTCCTGCCCGAACCGCTGCCACCAAAAGTCTAGTCTGCCTTTTCTCACTCTCTGCCTCTCATCTTACATACACTTTCTGAGCCTCTCTCAGCAATTCATCCAAACCCTTTTCCTGCCAATCTTCCACCTTCTCCAGTTTCTTCCTGATATCCACCCAGGACTTTGCCACAAACTGAGTTTTCAGTAAAGCCTGGCCCACGGGTGTAGCGGGATCTACCCCTGAATATAACTGGAAACTTTTTCGCAACCTCTCAAGCCATTCTGTTGGGGTCTCATCCTTTTTCTGATGCTCCATGAAAGCTTTATTAATATTTTTTCCCTTTGGAACAGAGTCTCGGACCCCTTGGATTATAATTGTTCTTAAATCTGCCATGTGGCCCCTATGGATTGGGTCTTGATTATTCCAATTAGGTCTATGTAAAGGCCACTTTTGATTTGCTACCAGCCCTGCCTGTTGTTGTTGGTCTCAGAGTTTCATTCCCACCTTTCTAATCATGTCTCTTTCCTCTACTGTAAACAATATAGTTAAGATGGATTGTAATTTGTCCCAGGTATATAAATTTGGTCCCAGAAACTGGTCTAACCTTTCTCCCACCCCTATGGGATCATTGAGTAAATTTCCCATTTCTTTCTTAAATTCCCTGACATCCCCAGTGTTTAAAGGGACTGCCACATATCCTGTCCCTGGTCCTTCCTTGCCCATCCCCGCCAGACACCAACATCTCTCTAAGTGGAAACAGTTTCCCCTCCCCCTGCTTTGTCATGCTCCGGGTAATCCGCCGAGGGGAGGCTGTTGGTGTTGGAGAATCAGCATCTGAGTCCGAGTCCTGAGGCAGTGGTGTCCCTGAACTCTGGGAAGAATACTGTGGTGGAGGGGCTTGAGGGGCAACCGGAGGGGGCCAGAAGGGATCCTCCTTATCCGAGTGAGGTTTACCTGTGTTTTTTTCTCTTAATGCAAATAATGATGCTTCCTCATCTGATCCAGGAATCCATAACTCAGCATATTCACTTTCCTCAGGGCTAACTGGACTTTTATTGCCCACCCATGTATTCAGTTGCTGACACATCCAACCCTCAGATGACCCAAACACAGGCCAAAATACATGTGGGTTT